CATGGTGACGGCTACCCTTTTGATGGCAAGGACAACCTTCTGGCCCATGCCTTCCCTCCTGGCAAAGACCGGTTCAGCGGGGATGCCCATTTTGACGATGACGAGTTCTGGACGCTGGGCACGGGCCTCGGTGAGTTGGCCCCCTTGCTGGCTGGTGCTCCGCTGGGCCCTGGAGCCTTGCCCCCCTGACGGCCGGTTCTCCCCTTCTCTGCCGCGCAGTGGTGAAGACCTACTTTGGCAACGCCGACGGCTCTTCCTGCCGCTTCCCCTTCACCTTTGAGGGCAAAAGCTACTCCACCTGCATCACCGAAGGGAGGGAAGACGGGCTGCCCTGGTGTGCCACCACCCCCAACTTTGACCAGGACAAGAAATACGGCTTCTGCCCCAGCGAACGTGAGTAGCCGGGACTCGGAAAGCGGGAAGAGCGGGAACGGAATGGGGAAGGGTAGAATAGGAATAGACCTCGGAGGTCTTCTAGTCCAGTGTTTCTCAACCTTGTCAACTTGAAGATGTCTGGACTTCAACTCCCAGAATTCCCCAGCCAGCTGGCTGGGGAATTCTGGGAGTTGAAGTCCAGACATCTTCAAGTTGACAAGGTTGAGAAACACTGTTCTAGTCCACCCCCCTGCTCAACCAGGAGACCCTACCTCGGTGGCCTCCAACCTCCGGGCCCCAGGGACCGGTTCCCTGCAGAGGGGTCTTTCAGTGGGTCGGGGGCCGGGGTTTCGTGTGCTGCCAGGTGGGCTTCGCTTGTTTGAGCGTCCCTGGCCCACAGACCTGGGGTTTGAGACACCCCCACCCTGCCCTAGACTAGTCCAGACAAGGCTCTGCCCAGTCTCTTCTTAAAGATCTCCAGTGATTGGATTGGTCAGGATTATTGAAGCCCTAATTGCTCCACAACATGTGGGGAGATGGGGGGGGGCAGAAGGGGCCACCTGGCTTTGGAAAGCTGAGCTGCACAGTCCCTCCCAGGTGGGGGGGGAGGGAACAAACAGGCCCCCACTACAGTTGAACCAGGAGCAGGTGGGAGGGGCTTCTCAAGGCCATTCTCTTCCGAGCCCCCTGCTCCTCCTTCAGTTGTCAGCCACTTACAAGGTGGGTGACCTATAAGTGTAATAAATTAATGAATAATAAGGGGAACCGAGCTGCCCCCCAAGGAAGACAATGAGGGGAGTTTGGTTGGCTGAATTCCTTTTCCCCGTCTGCTTTGCCAGTCCTCTTCACCTACGACGGGAACAGCGACGGGGAGAAGTGTGTCTTCCCCTTCATCTTTGACGGCAAATCCTACCAGGGTTGCACCACCGATGGCCGCACAGATGGCTACCGCTGGTGCGCGACCACCGCCGACTTTGACAAGGACAAGAAATACGGCTTCTGCCCAAATAGAGGTAGGAGGGTCTGGGGGCCTGTGGCATTCAGGACGGGGTACAGTGTGCGGAATGCATGAGCTCAGGGACGACCTGAGTCCTGGCATTACCAAGGGGGGCTGCAGCTGCAGAGCCCACCGAGCTGCCCTGACCGTCTCACATTCAGCTTCAGGGAGTTCTGCTCGGCCATTGCAACAGCTGGGGGCCAAGGCTGACCTCTCCCTCCCCCCCCCACAGACACGGCTGTGATTGGAGGGAACTCCCAGGGCGAGCCCTGCTCCTTCCCCTTCAAGTTCCTGGGCCAGACGTACAGCAGCTGCACCACGGAGGGACGCACCGATGGGAAACTCTGGTGCGCCACCACCAGCGACTACGATGTGGACAAGAAGTGGGGCCTTTGCCCTGACCAAGGTATGAGGGAAGCTCCTTTCACTGCCCCCCTGGGAAGCTGGTGGGGAGGGGACTCAGCACTCCCACCCACAGGGCACAAATAGCTCAGCCATTAACGATGCTGAGCTTCTCAGCTGACGGCCCGAGTGCCACGCAACGGGGTGAGCTCCCGTTCCTCGCTCCAGCTCCTGTTCGAAAGCAGGCAAGTGTGAGTAGATAAATAGGTACCATTTCAGTGGGAAGTTAGCGGCATTCCATTCGCTTTTGGCCTTTCCCTTTGCTGTCCACATGGCCACAGAAAAGTCTCTGGACAACGCTGGCTCCCTTGGCCAGGAAACAGACAAGCCCCATGCCTCGGATTCGGACATGATGGCCAAGAGAGCAATTGACCTTTACTTTTGCACACGCACACAAACACACACACGCACCAAGTGTGTCCAGCAGCCTAGGGGAATGGGCGCCTTCCTCAGCAGGGAGAAGGGTGGTGAGGGGGGGACGATGACCCAGGGGCCACAGGGATCGAGGGCCCCGGTCCAGCCTCTGCTGCCGCTTTGCACCCCCAGGTTACAGCCTCTTCCTGGTTGCGGCACACGAGTTCGGCCACTCGCTGGGCCTGGAGCACTCCAGCATCCGGGAGGCCCTGATGTACCCCATGTACACCTACATGGCCGACCTCCAGCTGCATCCGGACGATGTGGCCGGGATCCAGTCCCTCTATGGTGAGCAGGAGGGGGGGGGGTTGCCAGGGGGAGGGGTTTCCTGGGAGCAGAAAGCAGGCTGTCCTCCCTCCCTCCCTGAGTCCCTGCCCGGGAAGCTCCCAAGGGAATCGGGGGGGACTGGGGACCTGTTCACACACCGTCTCCTGGGTGAGGCTGGTCTGGAAGCCCTTTCCATGGAGAACACGAGGCCCAAGTCCCTTCACCCAGATGTGGAAGCATCCCTGGAGGTCCTCAGTCCCCTCACAATGCCCCCGCCCCCCTTGGCTCAACGCTTGAGCTGCTCCTGCTCTTCTGCCAGCCCCTCCCTCCCCCCAAATCAGAGCCTCTGACGCTTGTGCTGCTCCTCCTTCCCCCCCCCCACTAGGTCGAGGATCCGGCCCTCAGCCCACGGCGCCCATCCCCCCTTCTCAGGCCCCCACGGAAGCTGGGGATGACGACGGCTCTTCCGTGACCGAGACCCCCGCTGTGAATGGCCGGGGCAGTGCCTGCCAGGTGGGGGGCTTTGATGGGGTGGGCGAGATCCAGAAGGCGCTGCACTTCTTCAAGGACGGGTGAGTGGCGAGGCAGGAGGGGGCCTGGAAGGACTCGGGCGTTGGGCCCAGTGGGGGAAACTGAGCTCAGACTGAGCCGCCTTTCCTGCCCAGGCAATACTGGCGAATGTCGAGCACAGGGCACGGGCCCCTGGAGGGGCCCCTGCGGATCCAGAGCACCTGGCCGGACCTCCCAGATGTGATTGACGCAGCTTTCCAGGACCCTCTGACCAAGAAGATCTTCTTCTTCTCGGGTGAGGCCCCCTCCCCACCCAAAGGGCCCTCATGGGGGCGGCCCCTTCCCCTGCGGAGGGCCCTTGCAGCCGGCTCCTCTGCCCAGAGAGGGGCCCCTGCTCAGCCAGCCACCCCTTCCTCTTGCAGGCCAGCGCTTCTGGGTGTCCCAGGGGCCACAGGTGCTCGGCCCCCGGAGCCTTGACAAGCTGGGCATCGGGAAAGACGTGCGCAAGATTGTGGGGAGCCTGACACGGAAGCAGGGGAGGATCCTGCTCTTCAGCGGAGATCAGTTCTGGAGGTACCTGAGCCTCGGGGGAGGGGGGAACATGGGGTCCCTCTCCCCAACCCCCTTCCTTTGGGGGCCAGAGGCTGGGTGGGGGGGGCAGAGGCTGCTCAGCTTCCAGGAGCCCCCAGCAGCGGCCTCCCAGGGGGGCTCCTGCATCCCCAGCCACCCCCCTCCCTTGGCCTGAGCTCTCCCCACCCCCCACCCCGGCTGCCTTGCCTGGTCTGGCCTGGCTCCCTGGACTGCACCCCACAGGTAGCTCCAGGGAGAAGGAAAGCAGATCCCTGCACAGGAAGAGGCCCCCTCGGGGGCATCTAGAGGGACCTTGCTAACTTTTCCTCCCCTCCCCCCCAGGCTGGATGTGAAAAAGGAGCAGGTGGACAGGGGTTTCCCCCGCTACATTGACAGCCTCTTTCCTGGGGTCCCCACTGATGCTAACCTGGTCTTCCAGTACAAAGGTAAGGGGGGGCAGGAGGGGGGACAGCCTCAGGTGGGGCCCAGACATCCCCCCGCCCCTCTCATGGGTCCTCTGCAGGGGGTCTCTGCTATGCAAGGGGTCCGTCTAGGAACTTCCTCCTCCCTGGTGCAGCAAGCAGCAGTGGGTGGCTGCAGAAGACAGATGGCCACTAGAGGGCAGCAGCGAGCAAGAGCATCCCTATCTCGGGCTTTGCTGGTTGGGGGCTTCTGCCAAAGGAGGAGGGGGCAGGAGGGGGAAGAAGAGGGAACCCTCCCTCTATCATGTAGGGGACTCACACACACTCACACACACACACACACAGAGCTTTAACTTGTGAGCTGTCAGGCAGTGCTGCTGGAGCTCCTCTGATTGGGCTCTGGGCAAACCCTTTCAGGTGGGGGCTCTCCTAGCAGGGAGGGGGAAGGGGGGGACATGCCTGAATTCAGTAGAAGAGCTCCCCACCCCCATCCCGAGTGTGGAGGAAGAGGCTCCTTGGGAGACTCTGCACGGCTGAGGACCAGGATTCCCTGAGGGGGGGAACCTAGGGAGAACGGTTGAGAAGATGGGGAGGGGGTGGCTCCCCCCCCGCAAGGCCTGCAGGGAGGATGAATCCCCCTTGACCCACCAAGCTCAGTGCCAGGAGCTCTGGGTCTGCTTTAGGGTCCCTCCCTCCCTCCCTCCCAGGAGAGAGAGCCAGGGGCCAGGAGGAGGTCCCCCATGGAGGTCCCTGCGATTCCTTCCCTGTGGCCGCTCCGCAGCGCCCGCTCACCTTCACCCGCTGTTTCCCCTCTTCCAGGGAGGTTCCACTTCTGCCGCCACCCCTTCTGCTGGCAGATGAGCCCCCGCTACCAGGTGACCCGGGTGGGGTACTTCAAGCAGGACGTCCTGAAGTGCCCTGAACAATGAGACCCACCTGGACCCTCTGCTTCGAAAGGCCTCTGGAGGGGGGGCATTGCTGTGCAGCTTCGACCCCCCCCTAGCTGGCCAGCTGATGGGGCGGGCTCTCTGCTTGGGGGGGGGGGCAAATGCTGCCCTGGCCCCTTGGGCCCCCACAGCCTGCGGAAGACTTGCCAGGAAGAGGGAGGGGCTGCGCTGGGGGGAGGAGAGCTCTCCTCAGCCGTGGTCCCGATCCACTGAACGGCGTGGGAAGCTCCAGCCCCCAGCCCCTCCCCCGACTTCCGTCACCTGCTCAGGAAGCAGCCGACAGAGAGGAGGGAGGCTTCATTGGGGGGGGGCACTCTTTGCAGCTTTGCAACTATTTGTGATTGAAAAGGGGGGCTCCCATCTGCTCCCCACTTTTCTCCCTCCGGCTCTGCCTTTCTAGGGGATTTGGATATCTGGCTTTAACAGAACAAGAGAGTTGGAAGGAAACTTGGAGGTCTTCTAGTCCAGCCCCCTGCTCAAATGGCCCCCCCCTCTCCCTCCTTCCCCCCCTCTCTCTTCATTTTGGGGGAGGACCTGCTGGGGTTTGCTCTCAGCATTGCCTGGGTTGCTGCAAATCCCTGGTGTTATTTTTTGGAAATAAAGATTTCCTTTTGTTTTATCTCTTGCCTGTTTTCTGTCCATTCGGCTGTAGNAGACTTTAGCATTAACCACACGGGAATTTCACAACTACGGACTTAAGATGTAAATGTTTAGCAACAAATTTCGTAGAATGTTTATTGGTATAACTCATGTTTGTTTATTGTCATTTACTGGTAGCTTTGGATGAAAAACTAACCTTACGTTTATTAGCATCCACATTTCAAATCGCAATTAATACTGAGACAAACTTTTTTCTTTGACTGGAAAGCTTCACGTTAAGAGAATTAACCACCTGGAGCCAGCACTCCCCTTAAAATAATATAATAATTGTATTAAAACAAGGAGACAAATTGTGAAAGTCTTTAAAAAGCTGCTTTTCACGAGACCTCCCTGAAGCCAGAATAACTTCCGTTGTTGCTCAATACATGGCTATTCCTTGACTTATGACAATTCGGCCCAAAATTTCTGTTGTTAAGACAGACATTCAGCAAGTTTTGCCCCATTTTAAGACCTTTGTTGCCACTGTTGATAAGCATATCTCACTCAGTCGTTAATCCAACCTCCTGATTGCTTATCAAGTTGCAAAAGGGGATGGCGTGACCCCAGGACACTGCGACCGTCATAAATGCGAACCAGTTGCCAGGCGTCTGAATTTTGACCATGTGACCATGGTGCCACTTGTGACAGTTGTGTGAAAAAAGGGTCACTTTTCCCAGTGCCGAAGTAAAACTTTGAAGAGCCAATAAAGGGACTGTTGTAAGCGGAGGGCGTCTGTTCTTCTGACGGTTGTCCCAGCGTCGCAAGAGGCATGGATGGCTATTTTGCCTTATGGCTGGGGGGGCTGTACCCCACGTCGATGGCGTGTCCTGCCCTTCAGAGAGCCACAGCAAAGTTTTCGGCTGCTGTTGGAGGAAGGCGCCTGTGCTGCCACAATCAACACTACCCCGGCTCTGGCCCTCCGCCACCATGGTCTCCCGGCCCCTCAGAGCGGGCGGCTGTGGTGACAGAGGGGCCGAGGGCAGGTGGGCTATGCTGGGGACCAACAGGAGCCCTTGGGAGGCCCTGCCTCCACCCAGCCCAGCCCCACCTCCCTCTCCAGAGGAGCCGCTTTGTTGCTCCCATCCTGGCTGAGCCCCCTCCCCACCCCAGCAGTCCACCGCTCCGCTGCCCACTCCTCACCAGGACTTTGGGAGTCTTGGGGGGGGGGACGCCTGGGGGACTCTCCCTTGTGCTTCCCAGGGAGGGCCCCCTACCTCCAGGTTCCCCTGAGTTCCCCTGGCGCAAGTTGCGCTTAGCCCATTCACGGGGGGGGGGGCAGAGGAGGGAGGGCGGCAGGAGTTGATGCTTTCTGCCCCTCGGGGACCTCCGAAGCAGGAGCCGAAGAAAGGCGGGGAGGGCGCAGGAGCTGCCCCCCCCCTCGAACAACCTGCCAGCCACTGTGGGACGGCAGTTTTGTGCGCGCAGCCCGCGATGAGAAGTTCTCCCTTGAGACCGTCCCCTCCCCGCCCAGGTGGGCTTCTCCCCCTTTCTCCCCTCTGGCTTTGGAGGGGCCCGCCGGTGGGCTTGGCGCTCTCCCTGCCCCGGCTGTGAATCGGAGGCGCCAGAGAAGCTTCTCTCGCACCTGAGCCCCCCCCCCCAAATACACACGGGGGTGGGGCTGTCCCGCGTCCACAAAAGCGGCCGAAGGATGCGCATCCCGGGCGGCTGCGGCGGCCGAAGTCCCCCATTTCTACTTTCTCCTCCCCGCCCGCCACCGCGACGCCTCCCGGCCAAAGGCGCAGGATGGGTGGCGGCGGGAAGGAGCGCTTCCCCGGCTGCTCGGAGAGCGCAATTCTGCCCCGCTTTGCTCCGCTGGAGGCCGCAGTGGCCGAGCTGCGCTCTGTGCGGCGCCGAATAAGGGACGTTCCGTCCAAGGGCTGCGGTGAACCGTCCAGGGGGGAACGGAGAGGGGGTCCCCGGGGGGTGGTGGCGGGACGGGCCGAGGGTCTGTGGAGGCTTCAAAGCTGCCCTTCGGCTCTTCCACGCGTGGGAGATCAGCTGGACCGCCCCGCCCTACCACCCCCCTCGCAGCCGCCAGTCAATCCTGAAAGGCAGCCGAGCTCCCACCCAGGCGGGGAGAATAAAGCCCAGCGCGATGCCCCCCCCCTTTTAAAAACCTTCCAAGGCCCGAGACCTCAGGCCGGCTCTGGGGAAGGACGAGGCCCGGCCCGCTCGCTCCCTGGGCGTCTCTGGGTGGCCCTTGGCACATGGCAAAGTCCCCCCGACAAAGACTTTCCTCGGCCAGTTTTGTATAGCTGAGCACCCAGGGTGGCACCCAGGAGCTCCGGGCTCCCCCTTCGGCCACCGGTCCCTTCCCACCCAGGTGCTTTTCTTCCTGGGTTTGGTTTGGCAGGGCAGGTGGTCCATTTGGCTTCGCAGGTGCTGCTCCGTTCTTTGAGTGCCAGCAGGGATGTGGAGACTAACAATGGGGAAGAGAAATGGGGTCGCCATGCTCCTGGGCTGTGCCCATAGGACGGAAGGGGGAGGCTAATTTGTCATGGATTGTATCAGGCTGACCAGGGCTGCTGGGAGTGGCTGGGAGTCCCAGCTGGAGGGCGATTTGGGCACCGAGGGGCGAAACTGCTGGCACTGATCCCCACAACCCAGTTTTCCGGCTTTCTGCACCCCACATTAGTCCCCCCCCCACATTCCTTTATGACAGCCTGTTTGATCTAACGAAGAAGACCCAAAATTAGGAATGAGACATTGCAAGTCCCCCCTTCTGTTCCCAGAGCCACGTTGTGTACACCAGTGTTTCTCAACCTGGGCAACTTGAAGATGTCTGGACTTTAACTCCCAGAATTCTGGCTGGGGAATTCTGGGAGTTGAAGTCCAGACATCTTCAAGTTGCCAAGGTTGAGAAACACTGGTGTACACAATGACAATGGGGGCCATACTGTAAGTGGGTGGCTTTGGGTCAGCCAGAGAAGAGGAGAAGGGCCAGGGCTGGCGAGAGAGTGGCCGAGAAGACCAGACGGCCAGGGAGTCACCAGGTCAAGGTCGGCTTATTGGAGCCGTCCCAGAGAGCAGCCAGTTTTGTACGTAAATTGAGTATTTTATTACTCCTTCTAAAATCAGGTTTGCGGTCGTAAGTTGAGGCCTTCAGGTGTGGGTTTGTGTTTCCTCTTGTAATTGCTTTTTTTAAACTTTAACTCAGTGCGACACAGATCTACAGGAGGTCCCCAGGTTACGACCACAATTTGGCATCCGGAGTCATTAAGTGAATCTGTTTCTCCCCCTCCCCTGTTGATTTTGTTTGTCGGAAGGCAGCTGGGAAGGTCGCAGAGGGCGAATCCGACCCAAGCGACGCAAATGCAGGCGGTTAGCCGAATTTCGATCACGTGACCCGGCGATGCTACAACGGTCGTTAACGTGTGAGGACTGCTCATAATCCACCTTTTCCATTGTGGTTGTAGCTTTGAGAAGGGTCCCTGAGCGAATGGTTGTATCATCATCATCACTGCATGGAGAACACCCCTATCCAGGCAGTCCTCGACTTGGTTCGCTTAGTGACAGTTCAATGTTACAACGGCACTGAAAAAGTGACTTATGACCATGTTTCACAGTTACGACCTTTGCAGCATCCACAGGGTCAGGTGATCAAAATTCAGCTGCTTGGCAACTGACTCATATTTATGACGCCCGCAGCATCCTTTTGCGACCTTCTGGCGCACGAAGTTAATGGAGAAGCCAGATTCACTTAACGACCACTTAAGAAGGGTGGGGATTCTGCAAAAGGCCTCGGAGCAGCTGGGAATAAGCGCTTACGTTTTACAAAGAATGAAGACAATTGCGGGAGCTCTTAGGAGGGCATCTCTGATGGGGGGTCCTTGGGGGGGAGGGGGGAGGGAGAAGGACCCCGGTAGTTTTGTACATAAGCAGCCCCTCTGGCGCCATTTTGTGAGAGCACCCGCAGCAGTGCTGTGATGGGTCCGCACCCAGCTGGAGACGGGGAGGCCATCCGGGGTCCCCAGGCTGCTCCCACCGGCCGAGTCCGGCCCCCGCAAGCCTCAGCACCCAGAGAGGGTGGGGGGAGGAGCGCTGCTCTGGGGCGGGGTGGGGGGGTTCCCCCATGACCACTTGTGTGTCAAAGTCCCTGCTGTGACTCAGTGGCTACTGGAGGCTCACTTCCCACGGGGCTCTTCCCTTTTCTCCCATGAGAGCCTGAAGACTCACGGGGGGGGGGGGGGGGGGGGGGGGGGGGGG